TTTATGTGAATGTTAAATGAATGTAGTTAGCACGAAGGTACTAATTGAGGACACTATTTTTACGTCCCTACTGGAGACGGGACCGCCATTTGACGTGGTCATCTGATCCACGCGTAGTCTCCTTCGCAGCCGTTATTAGGGTCGTCACTCGTCACTCGTCACGCAACGCTCCTCCCCACTAGTGGGGAGGAGCGTTGCGTGACGAGTGACGAGTGACGACCCTAATAACGGCTGCGAAGGAGACTAATCCACGAGAAGATCTTGCCATTTGCAGGGCTATCTGTTTTACAGTTAGAGTCAGTGTTAGGGTTGACGCTAACCCTAACCCTAACCTTAAGATAAAACAGCATAAAAAAAAAAAAAAAAAAAAAACGATAGACTCCCGGGCCGGCCCCTACCCCGACCCCTCGTTTTACTGACACCCGTGTAAAAAAGTTACGGTTTAAAAAGTATCCGGATTCGTTCTCTCTTTTTAACAATTAATTATCCTGTGCAAAATTGATGAGTTAATTGTCTGCCCATTGCTATCTGCTTTAAAGTTTCCTTCGAGGAGCGAAGGAATTAATAAGGAATATTGTTGTTTCTAAGTTTTGACGCATGCAGCCGTTGTTCAATGAGAAGAAATCTATAAAAATCTATAAAAAAAAAGTCTAAAAACGTTTGTAATAGTCTTAACCGTTTCCTAATAGATAATTTGCTCGCGAGCAACTTGCGAGCACAGACATATAGATAAATATTTGCAAATATTAGCTTTTGGTTATTGCCTTTTTTATTCCTTTGGTGACGTAATCTTAATTGGCGCCCCGCACCTAACACAGGTTACAGAGAGTGTAAAGAGGTCGGATACACGTATTAACTGGTCTTTACGAAAACGTTCTTTTGCTATTATTCGAACGACGATATATGTAAATCCTAAATTCTTAATTACTATTGATTGTACACAAACTGTTACTAACCAAGAGTTATTTCGAGTATTAATTGGCCAAATTCGTCGGGTGCCCGCCAGAAAAGGTAGCAAAAAGAGGTGTATTGGGAATAACAAGCTCTCTTGACGATAACCAACGCAAATTTTACATGACCTTACATTTTATTGTTTATGATATTTTATGCCTGCACTTTTTTCTAATTTTGCCCTGTGTTTGATGGAGCGCTACTGAGCTCGCACTAATGTCAGACCTGAATGGAAGTATGTCTACTATAGGATATCAACATCACTGACCAAAGTATAAGCCACCAGCATGCAGAGATTTCGATCTCTATTAGCCTGCGAATATGGCCGTCTCTCCCTCGCTCCTCGACTCTAGGGACGTGGAGATCCCGCAGGCGCTCTCATGCATATGTAACTCTATAAGCCGTGGAATTAGCCTACGAAAACAGACGATTCTCCTCGCTCATCGCCGCTGGGAAAACGTCTTTTTTCTCAGGCTACCGTGGAATGGGGTATGGTTTGAGGTCAGTCCTTACATAGGGAATCATTTTTGATCCACCGCGGTTAAAACTTCCGATCGAGCCGCGTTTTTGTTTCTGATTCAAAGGGGTTTTATTCACATGTAATTGGAAAAAGTGGAACCCCGTTAATACGGTCACCATACATATCAAGGACACTATTTAAGAGTGACTCGACGAGGATAATAAAAAAGAGTCGAAAAGGGAATGCAAAGGACCAGCAGTCCAGGGGTGTGCCATTCGCGCGCCCGCGGTGGTTACTTTTCGCGCGACTAGATCTTTGAGTGGTTACCAAGTCATTTGTTTTCGAAGTGTGTTTCTCAGTCGCTGGGAATATTGATGCACGAAGCATACAAATACTTTGATTTTCTTGGCATAATAACCTTTTATGGGGGTTTCTATGAACTTAATCAAGAATTTACACGAAGAGTGCATGGTAAGTGCTTTAAAAGCTTTTGCCCTGTCGGTACTCTTACCGAGTTAACCAATAATTTACAACGAGCATATTACACAACCACTTCTTTCATAAGCTTACATCAAACACAACAAAAACCTACTTTTATTCAAGGTATCATAAAAACAAAAATACAAAAATAACACCATGAAAAGGAAGTTAGAGAGATATTAATTAACTTTTTAAAAAAATAAAAATTAAAAACAATTAAAACAGAGTCTCTAAAAGGTATGAAATTTCACATAATAAAAGACTAAGAAATTATGAAATACACATACAGTATATGAGTTAAAGCGCGAAAGGGAAAAGAGAAGGGAGTGCCTGCTATAAGAGGCGGTGTTTTTGTATTCTGCTTACCGATTTTCCAACTAATCCGATAATGTCAACTGTCAATACCTGACCAATCACAATCACATTTATCCAGTAAATAGCATTATTATTCATTCAAATATTTTCCCGATTCTGATTGGCCAAAAGCACATGCACAATTCACCATAACCAGCCACTGATGACCAAATTTGGAAGAATTTTGCATTTAATGAACCGATGACGTCAAAAGTGCAGCCTTCTTGCAGGTTAATGCACTGTTAACGGAGAAGACCTGGGGACGAGGTTGAGTTGTTTTGGTTGTGAAAACTAAAATGGCGGACACTTCACTCGTTTCAAGAGTAAGAACTACAGCTGGAACTAGGCGAAATAATGGCTAAAAACATAGCAAAAACAGCAAGAAGACAACTCGGCGGGTGACATCTGCTATTTGGAGAATATTTACGGAGCTGGACAAACCTAAACGTACACTATCAAAGATAAACTTAATGTCGATGCAGCTAAGCATGTTTTAGCTATGTTTTTAAACCAGGAATTATTTTGAATGAATAATAAAGCAATTAATGAATTCCACTTTCATTGAATATGAAGAATTAAGCAGATCTCGGAGGGTGTTATCCACCTCGGCCTTTGACTTTGGTTGATAACACCCTCCTTGATCTGCTTAATTCTTCGTATCCTACTCAGCCTCATTCATTAACTGCTAAATTATCCACCTTTTGAACAACTGGGGCCAGATAAACAACCAACTAGCTGTGTGAATAGTAGATAGGAAAGTTAACTACATTGTTCACTGGATTAGGATTCATCCAGGGATAGAGTTACATATAAATGTACATGGTTCCTGTTGTGGAAAGGTGGATAATACCATGCGTATCTACACGATGAAACACTCTCTAGTGGATAAGTATTGTAGGGAAAACAAAATTGCTTTATCTGCTGGATGGTGATTTATTCAGTTGACATCGTTGTCCATCTGAGTGACTGGGGTCAGGGTCCAATTGTTTAAACATTGGATAGCATTATCTATTGGTAAATCACTATGCAGTGGATAAGTATTAGGGAAACCAATAAAAATATTGCACTGTCCATTGGATGGAGATTTATCCAGAGCAAGGCTGTGCTCTAAGGAAAATTTCAGGGAGCCCTTCGGGCTCCCAAGCATTTTATTTAAGGCGCCCAGACCTCAAAGTTGGTCGCCCGAATAAAACTTTCGGGGACCCCTTCGGGCTCCCAAGCATTCCAGCTGGGGTGCCCAGGCCTCTCAAGTTGGTCACCCAAGTACGTCTGATGAGGAAGTATTTTGTATGCACACGAATCTTACTGCCCTGCTGATCACCAAACTCGGTATTTTTAGCTTCTGGGTTCGACAAAAACCCACATGTTGTCTTATGAAACCCATCAAAGTTTTCGTGCCATTCATATTTAACACCAGAAACGTGAGCAATGCTGCCGAATTGCTTAGGCTTTAAAGATGGAAAAGTAAAAAAATTCGGCAGGTTTACTTAAACTTCATTAAGGTCTTTGGGTCAAACAGAGGAAAACTGTGCTTTTTACCAGTAATAATATACTTGAAAATAAATTTTCAAAACGTGAATCAATGCGGCATGAAATATAATGTAACAGAGTTTTATGCGCGGTAGATCGAACTCAAATTCTCGTGAAAAATTCCGTGAAACAGTGAAACCGCCACCGCCCCAAACCTATTGTTTTAATAAAAAATAACTCACCTTTAATTTTCTTTTCTATATTATCGGTGAATCTTTTAGGATAATTGAGCTTTTCGTGGATACGGTCAAAGCGTAAACCAGCTCTTCTTTCTGTGTTTTTATTATTATTATTATTATTTTGGCCGCTAAATTTAGCCTATATATGCATGCATGCGAATTTAGTTTTCGATACGTAAAATGCCAAGACAACGTGGAACTGCACTGTTTCTAAAAAAACAATAAAAACGATCAGAACGATCATATCTTTTCTTTTTATATTTCGTTATCTTATGTAAAGGGAAGAAAACAATCATAAGTTATGTTTTAGCCAAGCAGACACAGCAGCCAAAACCTGTAAAAACATTACATTTGCATATTGGTCAATACAGCAACTTCTATTTCATACAAAAATAAATTACTCCGCGTTGCCAGCCGTGCTCTTAGCTGTCAGAAAAGTATTGACAGTTTCTCCTAAAAACTGTACTTAATGATCTATCTGAAATGAACAATTCTAAAACTACTTTAAGAACTGGTACAAATCGAAATCCGTGCCGCTTGTCACTTCCAAGTGATGGATTATGTTACATGTGAAATCATGCAGAGCGAACATCGACGAGCGCCCGTTTCTTTTGTACAACATTCGTAAAAACATTTTCTATAGGGTTTAGTAAACTCAGACTCCACAACCAAACACTAGTATGTCAAATTTTTCTGCCTGATTAACTGATCACTGCATCAGAAGCAACAGTGCCTGGACGGGTGACTGGGAACTTTTTTTCAGTCGCCCAAAGCGCAATGTTAGTCGCCTCAGGCGACTGGGCGCTGTTAGAGCACAGCCTTGCAGAGGTTGGAGTAGTCCTTAGATTTTACCCAAAGGGAAGGGGGGGATTAATAGAGAATTAATAGTAATAAATAACTTGCAATTATTGTAAATGCATACCAACTTTCATTTTTATATTGTACCATTTTGAGATTTCACATAATAAACATGTGTTTTGTAATGATATCTGGTTTATACTTAATTTACCACATGTTTATTTGTCCTTTTTGTAACATTTTTGTAGGCTGGCTGGACTAATCTTAATTCATCCCTCAGGGGAAATCTGAGAAGGATATCAAAGTCATTAGTTTTTGTTTCTGCAAAAAAGCCTGAGTCAAAGTTAACATTTGATACAGTGATGTCCAAGGCAAAGAATGCAACTGTTGGTATGTATTTTTTGAAAAAATCAATAAATAAAATTAAGTAATGCACGTTTTCGTATAAAAAGTATTGGTAGAATACGAATATTCGGCCAGCGGACCTCTCTAAAGCATCTAAATTTGTTATTGATCGGTTTCGATCCTATTATCTGATGCGCAATAAGTCTCAAGATGCCTATCTTTAAAAATCTGCAATTTTTCATAGACTTCTGTGCTTTCAAACCAGCCAGGCTATGTTGCATTAATCCAATGATGTGGAATGGCCGGAGTCTTTTTTTTATTAACAGGGCTGTCAGTAAGAGCCGGGGGCCGGGGATTTCCCCCGGCTACTATGAGCGTGGCCCCCGGCTGCTTTTATAAGAAAATAGAAGAAAAATAGAACGAAACGAAATCCTACTTATTACCCGGCAACTTAAAATCTTAGTGACAACCCTGTATGAAGGTTCTCGGTTAAATCTGAAGACTACCCCACAGAGAAGGTCCTATGCAGCGGCTTGAAAGTTAAAAACATGGCTGCACTTAAATGACTTGCAAGAAAGGCTCAGTAATCTGACAGTTCCAAACAGCCACAAAGAGAGAACAAACAAATTTGCCTCACCAACTTAGCAAATAAATATGCTGTTCATAACAGTACTATAATTAGAAAAGAAATTTTGGTATATTAAGACTCCAGCCCCCTCCCCCCAACTTCAAAAGGGATAGTCACTGGCCCCTGCACTTTAAAAACTGCTCTGCAGGCCCTGGGTGAGAGGGTTAGATGGCCGCTAAAGGGAGCTTGCCCATGCAGCTACAAAATCAACATAAGTGGTGTTTTGAAGTGTAACTGGAAGAGTATGTGATAAATGATATAGATTCATTCAAATGAACAGATTTAGAGGTGAACGAGATTTCATCTTGGGTGTCTGCTTACAGTCACTGTGCCTTCTTTTGTATTTGCTGTGTAATTTTAACCTTCTTTTAATGTTTTGAGTTGTTATTTTTATGTTTTGCTTTGTTTGGTGGCGATAGATTTTGTGACGCAGCCCCTTTTCTTAAAAGAACTGACTGTTCTATGTTGTTTCAGTTTTGTTTGGTGAACAACACCACGAGCCATCGATTCTCAAGGCCCAGTTATGTGTCCTTGAAAGAATGGTATCACAAACACAGCTTCTGTCTACCAACGCTTCCAAGGGTACATCTAGTGTTACAGTGGTAATGGAGATGTTTAACTTTCAACAGCAACCTTTGCTTGATGCATATCAGGCTGACCAAATTTCATTAGATGAACTTTCAAATAAATACAAAGGAACTGAAGGATTTGCACTGGAGCATTACGGATATATCTTAGAAGTTGCTAAAAAACTTGGAGTCAAGCTAGTGGCTGGGTTTGTGCCCAAACCATTTTGCAGCATGATGGTTAATGAGGGGAAAAACCATGTTCTTGAAAAAATAGAAAAAAGTGGAGGACCACCAAGAGAATTTTATGTTGATGGATCTGAGGATCACTATCGATACTTTCAAGGACTCATCAGTGGAAATCTTGACAAAGTTGTAGACAAGTATCGTCGGATATTTCCAGCACAGATACTAAGAGACAGTGCATTTGCTTACACAGTTATGGATATAGTACAAAAGTCAAATGGACAGACTAGAGTCTTGGGTATCTGTGGATCAGGGCACTTAGATTACAAATTTGGTATCCCTGAGCGGATATCACCAGAGGTCCCCATTTATGTGCTGACATCACGTGCTCAAGATGACCCAGTGGAACATAATGTTGCTGACTGCATCTTTCAGTATTCATAATGTGGTATTTGTGGTTCAACTTTTCTTGTAACAATTTTTTAAGCAGTTTTCCTTGTTTGTAAAAATGATATGGGACGAAATAATTCAGTCATTGAAAATCTTACAACGTTGACCTTGTACTACTGTATTACCACTCTTTCATAGCTCTTCACCACTGTACGGGTTCCGATGATTTTTCCCAGGAAACAAACAAAACAGAACAATGAAATTAGAACAGCAACAGCAATTTTATTCCACATAGTTCAGATACAAAATAAATACAAACTCAGTTAATAATTAACTGAGTTTGTATTTTATTAGTCACAGGTATAAGAAATCAGAGAATTAACTTTCCCACCTGTAATAGCATAAAAGGCTATTCGAAGCAGGGGAAAGATGAAAACAAACTTAAGGTAACAAAATAAGACAAAACCTGATTACAGCAAACTAAGACAACAATACAATAAAAGTGGAAAAATTTACAACCAAAGATAAATGAATAATTCAATGAGGTTGAATAAGAAAATTAAATCGAAAAAAGAAACAAGAAATTGAAACTGATGCCCCTGTTCTAATTTATTTACATCTGCTCGCATTTAGTGGAAAGCTGAATTTATCAGTTTTCATGGCAACTCACTGCAGCCAGAATAACAGAGCAAGATTAATGAGCTAAAAAAAAAAAAGATGTTGCTACTTTTGGGTCCCCACCTCCATTATGATAACATTCTCTCTATGAAAGTGCTTTATTTGTGAATTATGACCTCTATTACCCTATTTCAAACATTTACAAATTTGTTGGTACTATTTTGTTTTGAATTTAAATATAATTATTGGTTTTGGGAATTTTTGGAAAAAAAAACGTCCTTTGCAGAAACCAGGTAACAACATCTTACTATTTTCATTAAAAAAAAAAAATACCAATACAGACAGTGATACGGAACTTGCCTTGGTAAACAGCAGATGATTTACTTAACCCTTTAAGCCCCAAGATCCACATACAAATTCTCCAGACTGATCTCTATACATTTCTTCTAAGAATAGTTGAGAGAATTTGGCTTAGGATCAAAGTGTTCTCCCTTTGGTAATCAATTTAGTAATTCTCATAACCTTTACTCTAGATGATCTGCTGATGATGTTAGGAGAAAATTGATGTTGGTCACTAGTGGGACCTAAAGGGTTAAGTAATTTCAAATGGCATATTCTTTGAAAATTATATGAGCCAATGGGTTTGTAAGTTAAGGGGAAAAGAGGAAAATTTAAATATATGGTATAGACAATCCATAATTTTGAACTGCAGAGTTGCAAAATCAACTTTGCATTTATTGGGAGGGCCCATTTGTCGCATTTCCAGTTTTATTAAACAGTGAATAAGTTATCACACTCTACAGAATTAACCTTGAGTTATTTTGTTTATACTGGAATTAAAAAAGTGCCTATGTCAACTGACTTCTTCTTTCTTTTGTGGTGTGTACAATGTATGTGAAAAAGTGTGAAAATGTACAAATTAAAACCTAATGTACTGACTACTGAAAATAGATTATAAATCTCTTATCTTAAAGGCACTATCTAACAAATACCCAATGTGTAGTTTGATGCAAATTCAAGAAATGAAGCAAACCGAAAAAAAAAAACAACAGCAAACGACAACACAGTGTGAACAACAACAAAAACAGTAGCCTGCGTAGGTGGCGGTATTGTGTGGGTGCGAGATTAAAGTTTTGGCGGCGGAGCCGGGTTCCAAAAAAAGGGAGTGGTCCCTAGGCGTTCTCGGCTCGGTCGAGAGCTGTAACGCGACGTTACTTAGAGATACATGCCGAGAATGCCTAGCCAAGTCAAAAACTGGCAATGTTTAATTCCATCTTTATATTATAGGGAAAATAGGCCAGGAAAATGTGTTAAGGAATATTCTACAAAGAAAAAAAGCCTTTCCACACTATAAAAATAACAAGTTAAAAAAGTCGAAAATTTGGGATTTTTCCAAAGGGGTTAGTCCATGGTATTGGTTAAAAATTCGCAATTTTTCCATCTTTTTAACATAGGCAAAATAGCCCAGCAAAATGCAGTGTTTAAGAGTATTCTAGAAAGAACAAAAGCCTGTCCCGACCATAAAAACAAGTTGAAACAGTCGAAAAATTGAGATTTTTCCAAAGGTTTTGGTTAAAAATTGGCAATTTTTCTATCTTTTTATCATAGGCGAAATAGGTCAGGAAAAATGTGTTTGAGGATATTCTAGGAAGAAAAAGAGCCTTTCCAGACTATAAAAACAACAAATTAAAAAAGTGGAAAATTTGCGATTTTTCCAGAGGGGTTAGTCCATGGCTTTGGTTAAAAATTGGCAATTTTTCCATATTTTACTGAAATATAGGCAAAATAGCCCAGCAAAGTGTGTTTGAGAGTATTCTAGAAAGAAAAAAAGTCTTTCTAGACAATAAAAACAACAAGTTAAAAAAGTCAAACATTTGGGATTTTTCCAAAGGGGTTGTCATTGGTTTTGGTAAAAAATTGGCAATTTTTCCATCTCTTTAACATAGGCAAAAAAGACAAGAAAAATGTGTCTGAGAATATTCTAGAAAGAAACAAAAGTCTTTCCAGACTATAAAAACAACAAGTTGAAAAACTCGAAAATTTGGGATTTTTCCAAAGAAAATACTGTTGGTGTGATTTTGATTGGTGGACGCGTAATTCTTGTTTGTGATTGGTGTGCCCGTGTCCAGCAATTTTAACTCAATGTTGTACGCAATTCAAATCTCCCGGTTCAAGATTCTTTGAGTACTGTATTTGCATTATAATGTTGCATTCACATTTAAATGATATGGAAATCCATGAAACAAAATGTTTTATCCCCAAAGGGTTTGAATTAGTTTGCCGAATAGGTCTACCCTGTAGGCCTCATGAAGTTTACACAACCTACGATTCCTTTTCGCTTCGGTTTTGAGCTGAAAACGCACGTGGCATGGCACCATTTGCAACTGTAACTTCCGTAACTTGTCATGTCCGACGAAACGTTTCCACGGAACGAAGAGAATATGTCAGGTAATCTTTAATATTTATATTGTCGGTGTTGTTTCAATGTATTCATCCCTGAGTCTTCACTCCCGGTCAATACCGACAGTAAACCGTTTAACGCAGAAGCAACAAGCACAAGTAGCCTTCGTTGCGTGTCCACTTCTTAGTCCGGTTGTGTCCATGAAGGACTTCATAAAGTCCTTTTGCAAAAGACAAGATGACTTTTTGTAGGGAAAATCTTGCTCGAGTAACCGACGTTTTTTGGCGGCTTACTAGCCGAACTGGGAACCAAAAGCAAACATGGCGGAGTCGATCGAAGTCGATGTTCGCTGAAAGGTTTCGGATTTTGTACGGATTCAAGTCCATCCTTTAAAAGGGAAACGCACAATTGGAAAGTTGCTTAATGAACCGTAAAAGGGTTTAAAAACTTTGATGTTTCTTGTGGGATTGAGAAACAAGTCAGTTTTTCAATGTCTGTATTTTTTACTTGTTTTTCAGGTACTTCACGTGAGTTCTGTGTCCAGTGTAGCTGCAGATTGACAACTACCTGGGCCGTTTGAGCAGGTGAGGTTAAAGTAAGAGACATTCCAACCCCTTCTGAGGGAAAATTGGGAGGTTTTTGTCAGCCCCAAAGGAGCTAATATGAGAGCCGAAGGCGCGAGTCTTCAGTCAGTCATCTACAGTAATTCTCTACATAAACAGAATAAATCTGATGCAGAAACCTGGGTTGCCTTAAAAATAATGTATTAAATATTTTATTTTAGACAGTAATTGTAACCTAACACTAAATAGAAGTGATAAGCTTATAGTAAAAAAACACAATTAATTTTCCAGAAAAATGTCTGTGAATGGCAAATTGAACGTGAAGCATGTAATCCTCGGAGGCCAGCGGCATGCAAACTAAAAGTGTGGATTAATCATGAAGAGGTAGGTAACACATTCTACATGGGTGTAGACATAACTGGATCCTCTTTTGGATCCCTTTTTGGGCCACTCATTTTCTTTAAATAGAGAGACAGGATTGTCATTAAGAGCCGGGGGCCGGGGATTTTCCCCGGCTACTTTTATTGGAAAATGGAGAGAAACTAGAACCAAAAGAAATCCCTAGCCGTTTGATTCCCCGCCTACTTGTTGTATTTACCCGGCAACTTGAAATCTTAGTGACAACCCTGGAGAGAATTCATATAACTCGTTTCTTATATGCTAATGAAAACCGCTAAATGCTAATACCAAGAACAATTGAGAAGGCACGCACCAAACTGGACACTGCTACAAATTCTTAATTGAAAGAGAGTTGAAATCATGTCTTCTGTTGGTGTTACGTGCAGGATGCCGTAAGTTTCATCCGTGTTTCTCCCAAACAAATGTTCAAATACCTGAAATACTGGGAAAAGCCGTGAAAAAAAGCATTTAGCCCACTGTAGATAAAAGATGGTCAATACAAACAATAATACTTGTTTTGAAGACCGGTAACAGTGAAACAGTTGATAGCTTGCTCAACAAAGAAGCTGACATTTGATATTTATATTTTAATATTAATATTTATATTTTCCCCGGGAAAAAAACTCTGTAAGCAACCCTTAACTCCCTCGGAAATTGCCTCCTTTTGGACTCCCTCCCCCCGGAATTTCCCTTGCCCTTCGTGGGGATTATGGATATTTTCTGGAACTACACACTACACTTAGCAAAGGGAGGCCATAGATGAAAAAAAGAGTTTTAAAATTCTCCAGCAAATCAACCTTCTTACAGGACAGAAATACAAATACAACTACTACAAATGCAAACTACAATATACAACTACTACAAATGTCTCCCTTCAGAGTGCTCATTGGCTACTGATTCAGATACATTCATTTTTTGTAAACATTATTTCTCCAGAATAACGTTCATGTTTTACATCTTTGTCTTTTTTGAAGGAATAAAATGGTGGGAATGATGATACATGTCTAGTTGAACGATGCATCAGATTTCAACATGTCCATATGAGAAAGTTTGACAGGGACAGAAGGAACTAA